AAAATTACATTTACATTTTTACAAATCTTTTGCACCGTTAACACATTTTTCAATTGAATTTTTTTTAACCATTTCTTTTTCTTTTTTTCTCTTTCACAGTGTACAAAAAAAGTTAGCAAAATTATTTTCTAGTTGCACATATACTGCAAAAATGATAATTTATGCTAAATGTATCTAGTAATTGATTATTGCACCAGAGGAATATTGAAAACATCGAAATATCAAAGGAAATGCTCCAGCCACAACTAGATCGATTAGTAACAGCGTGTGTGGTGTGTGGCAAAAACATTACAAGAACAAGGCCACTGCTACTTTAGAACCCATTTTAAACCAGCACAAACACACACACACTCCACTTGCCATTGTCTGCTGTAAAAGCCCAAGTCGCCAATGCATACCATCGAGGTCTCCTTGGAGGGCTGTATACTGCGAAAGCTGGGTCAGAGAAGGATAGAATGGGATGGAGTGCAAGGAAGAGAGATAGAGTTGACAAAATCATATTAGCTTGGGTGAATGATTAGGACAGCGAGTTTGCAACTAAATGGTCCTCCTCCCAAAGAGGCCTCCTGATCCCTACTGCCTTTAAGAACAGCGTCCCACTGAGACTCTGCTATCATCAATGTACTGTTATTAATACAACCGCTCGCTCACCTGGAGTCCAGTTCCCTCTGTAAACACGGAGGAGAGACCAGGAGTGGTGACGGGCCTCGGGAAGACATCTGTGGAGAGTAAAAGAAGTAGACCTTAAAACCTAACCAAAGTTGAATGGAAATATGGAGACAAATGGACCACAATCTACGCCTTTTAGCATTTTAGGGTTTCCCCTGAAGTCCGCTTATAATGTTAGTCAAGATTTCTTGCACCAAAACACAAACAATGTAATTTTTCCACATTGTCTCTGACAATTTCAAATGAAAGATTTTTGTTTATGAAAGATATTCAAATTCAGTTCTTTTATTCAGCAAGTATGCATTAAACTGTTCAAAAGTGACAGTAAAACATTTAAAGAGTTACATTATAGTTTCCACAAAGCAGCACGAATTACTTCTGTGACACTGAAGACTGGAGTAATGGCTGCTGTAAATTCAGCATTGCATCACAGGAATTGACTGATTAGTAGACGACAGCGTGTGTGGTGTGTGGCAAAAACATTACAAGAACAAGGCCACTGCTACTTTAGAACCCATTTTAAACCAGCACAAACACACACACACTCCACTTGCCATTGTCTGCTGTAAAAGCCCAAGTCGCCAATGCATACCATCGAGGTCTCCTTGGAGGGCTGTATACTGCGAAAGCTGGGTCAGAGAAGGATAGAATGGGATGGAGTGCAAGGAAGAGAGATAGAGTTGACAAAATCATATTAGCTTGGGTGAATGATTAGGACAGCGAGTTTGCAACTAAATGGTCCTTCTCCCAAATAGGCCTCCTGATCCCTACTGCCTTTAAGAACAGCGTCCCACTGAGACTCTGCTATCATCAATGTACTGTTATTAATACAACCGCTCGCTCACCTGGAGTCCAGTTCCCTCTGTAAACACGGAGGAGAGACCAGGAGTGGTGACGGGCCTCGGGAAGACATCTGTGGAGAGTAAAAGAAGTAGACCTTAAAACCTAACCAAAGTTGAATGGAAATATGGAGACAAATGGACCACAATCTACGCCTTTTAGCATTTTAGGGGTTCCCCTGAAGTCCGCTTATAATGTTAGTCAAGATTTCTTGCACCAAAAAAACAATTGTCTCTGACAATTTCAAATGAAAGATTTTTGTTTTTGAAAGAAATTCAAATTCAGTTCTTTTATTCAGCAAGTATGCATTAAACTGTTCAAAAGTGACAGTAAGATATTGAAAGAGTTACATTATAGTTTCCACAAAGCAGCACGAATGACTTCTGTGACACTGAAGACTGGAGTAATGGCTGCTGTAAATTCAGCATTGCATCACAGGAATTTTTTACATACAGGTGTATCTCAATAAATTAGAATGTCGTGGAAAAGTTCATTTATTTCAGTAATTCAACTCAAATTGTGAAACTCGTGTATTAAATAAATTCAATGCACACAGACTGAAGTAGTTTAAGTCTTTGGTTCTTTTAATTGTGATGATTTTGGCTCACATTTAACAAAAACCCACCAATTCACTATCTCAACAAATTAGAATATGGTCACATGTCCATCAGCTAATCAACTCAAAACACCTGCAAAGGTTTCCTGAGCCTTCAAAATGGTCTCTCAGTTTGGTTCACTAGGCTACACAATCATGGGGAAGACTGCTGATCTGACAGTTGTCCAGAAGACAATCATTGACACCCTTCACAAGGAGGGTAAGCCCCAAACATTCATTGCCAAAGAAGCTGGCTGCTCACAGAGTGCTGTATCCAAGCATGTTAACAGAAAGTTGAGTGGAAGGAAAAAGTGTGGAAGAAAAAGATGCACAACAAACCGAGAGAACCGCAGCCTTATGAGGATTGTCAAGCAAAATCGATTCAAGAATTTGAGTGAACTTCACAAGGAATGGACTGAGGCTGTGATCAAGGCATCAAGAGCCACCACACACAAACGTGTCAAGGAATTTGGCTACAGTTGTCATATTCCTCTTGTTAAGCCACTCCTGAACCACAGACAACGTCAGAGGCGTCTTACCTGGGCTAAGGAGAAGAACTAGACTGTTGCCCAGTGGTCCAATGAGAGCAAGTTTTGTATTTCATTTGGAAACCAAGGTCCTAGAATCTGGAGGAAGGGTGGAGAAGCTCATAACCCAAGTTGCTTGAAATCCAGTTGCTTTAAGTTTCCACAGTCTGTGATGATTTGGGGTGCAATGTCATCTGCTGGTGTTGGTCCATTGTGTTGTTTGAAAACCAACGTCACTGCACCCGTTTACAAAGAAATTTTGGAGCACTTCATGCTTCCTTCTGCTGACCAGATTTTTGAAGATGCTGATTTCATTTTCCAGCAGGATTTGGCACCTGCCCACACTGCCAAAAGCAAAAGTTGGTTAAAAGACCATGTTGTTGGTGTGCTTGACTGGCCAGCAAACTCACCAGACCTGAACCCCATAGAGAATCTATGGGGTATTGTAAAGAGGAAAATGAGAAACAAGAGACCAAAAAAATGCAGATGAGCTGAAGGCCACTGTCAAAGAAACCTGGGCTTCCATACCACCTCAGCAGTGCCACAAACTGATCACCTCCATGCCACGCCGAATTGAGACAGTAATTAAAGCAAAAGGAGCCCCTACCAAGTATTGAGTACATGTACAGTAAATGAACATACTTTCCAGAAGGCCAACAATTCACTAAAAATGTTTTTTTATTGGTCTTATGAAGTATTCTAATTTGTTGAGATAGTGAATTGGTGGGTTTTTGTTAAATGTGAGCCAAAATCATCACAATTAAAAGAACCAAAGACTTAAACTACTTCAGTCTGTGTGCATTGAATTTATTTAATACACGAGTTTCACAATTTGAGTTGAATTACTGAAATAAATGAAGTTTTCCATGACATTCTAATTTATTGAGATCCACCTGTATTTTTTTTATTAATTACGTATTTTTGTATTTTTAATAAACACAGCCTTGGTGAGCATAAGAGACCTCCTTCAAAAACATTAAACAAATCGTACCAACCCCAAACTTTAAATGGTAGTGCATATAGACTTCTATATATAAATTATTATTGGCTAATTTCTTCACATGTAAAACTACCCACTCTGTTAATGTGCTTATGGTTGCAACATTGTGATGATTTCTGAATGACCTGTTTTTCCATAAATTATCTGGTTGTACTAGGAAGGGAATGCAAGCGGAATTCAAAAAAGCAAGATGCAGTTTTTCTCTGATATGACCCGTTTAAAACCTTGAACAGTACCTGTAGCTCTGATCTGACAATGTCAGAGTATGCTTTATGCGTCGGGGCTCTTATTTTTCGAGTGCCATTAAGATCTTCTTCACTGCTGCCAGACAGCAACATATCGTTGGTCACTGAAGAGACACAGAACCACATTCAGGGTCAAATTCATCTAGTAACGGTGACTAAAACATTAAAATAGTAAAATTAAGTTTTACTCAAAGGTACCTTGAGAAAGGGCCAAGCTGTCTTTCAATTTTCTGTATTGGACCAACAGAAGATGGAGTTCCCCTATGTGTCGATCCTTCAGAAACAAAATAGAGTTGATGTTTAGTCTATAAACAAACCCCTCTACCCGTTACAAAATGCATGCTGCTTCCTGCAGATTTTGGACCTGTTAACAAATGCAAAGTGCACAGATGCTGACATACCTTTTCATTATTGGCAGCTATTAGCGTCTCCATTCCAGTTTTTAACCTCTGCAGCTCTTGATCTGGAACAAAAAGAGTAAAACTCAGTTAATATATGCACCATTACATCATTATGGCAGTGTTGGGGAAGCTAGTTTAAATTATAAGTAGCATTAGATTTTCAATGTAGTTAGACTACAAGCAAGATTCGCTAATATGCAGTTACATACACTAATCTACTTGCAAAAACAAACTTCATTAGATGATTTTGAATGTGTAAATTTACAATAAATACAATACTAGAATACACCCTAATTTAAATGAACATAGATATGCACAGCAGATTTAATGAAATATTCTGGAGTATATGAAAAACATTTAGGACAAATTGATTGACTAGAAATAATTAGACTTTGATTTACTAGAATGAATGAACTTTTCTGAACTACAGTTAAGCTAAATAAAATGTTGCTACTTTTAGTTAGTTACTCATCCAACACTGCATTGTGGTGACACACTTCATTTACAAAACACACTGAGAGATGATGTTGAGGTAAACCAGCCCCTCCAGGGGAAAAAAAAGTCTCTGTTGTTGAGTGACAGTCCAGAAAAGTTCAGAAAGACGTGATGGTCTTTCTGAAGGTTTGCACTCTTTAAAACAACATTCTCTCTAAGTGTGTACATGCTTGTTCAGGTTGACACATGCTTTTTAGCCAAGCAGTGATTTATTTCAAGCTCAGACAAACTGCCTCTGTCACGTCAGTTACCTCAACCTCATCCTGCAGCGTTAACCTGGTTAGAGCTGGCTGACCACCTCAGCTAAATTAAGTGAACCAGCTACCATGTTTGAAAAACCAGCATGACCTCCTTAAACTAGTACGACCTAGTATTTCCAGCAAGGAAACCTTCCTTCACAACACCATATATAGAAATAAATTCCAAATAAAATCAAAGTCAACTATAATTTATAACATAATGGCACCATTGTACTTTTTTATATATATAATTTTTTATACTTTATAGTATACATTTTTATTAATAATATTTTCTAATTATTGTGCAATATATTTAACATCACATAATAAAGAATTACAAATATAATCAAATAATTCAATATTATAAATCAATTTATAATATATCAGATTTTTTTTAATGTATAATATAATATTTTATATATTTTACATATTAGATTTGAAACTTTATACTGCATACTTTATTATTAATATTATTTTCTAATTGTGTATTACATTTAACTTCACATATACAAAGGTTTACACAGTCTTTTCACACACTGTGATGACTGAGTAATACTTCACAGTCAATAAAATACACCCACTATTGGGCTGTTAATAATGCACAAATTATGAGATTAACTGCTAAAATGTGCTAAAATGAAGTTCAGTAACATACAAAACATAGTAGCTGTGAGTAGTTGATTCATCCTTTCTTTGAACTGGCCCTGGTACTATATTAATGAGTTTTAGCTCACAGACCCATGGGAAAGCAAAGAGTGGCTGCGGGGTGTGACAAGCATGATTCAGCCACTTAACACCTCCACACACACACACACACACACACACACACACACACACAGGTAGCCATTGAGCGGATTGGTGCGACAGGCTTGACAGCATGCCAGTGTACATTAGCCAGATTGACAGGAACCCTAAGGGGCAGCTGAATCAAGCTGGGGGACAGCATGGGAGGATCTGAAATGTGACTTTGAAATGTGTGCTTACGTTTGTCTCTCAGCTTTCTCTTACACAATTCCACTACAACAGGAAGCGGTGAAGAGCGGAGGTAGTGATTACCAAAAAGATCCATATGTTAGTAATTTCAACACACACACATAAACATTTTTCAGCACACATCGTCACTCCCATGCAGCTAGTATTTGGTACTTTCCACAAACAGGGTAAACATCAGTGTCAGATTATTACATTATACAAAGGAGCAGAGGCATAAAAAAAACTGTGAAAACTATTATAGACTGTATGTTAGATAAATTATCATCTAACGTAAAATTAATCTAGCATCATCCTTGTTACCCATGTTATCATAAGAAAAAAATTTAATTTAATTTAATTTATGGGAAATATAAGTTCATTTCAAATCAACATTTGTTATTAAACTTAATTTTGGCTAAATTTGCAACCCTGTTACTCATTTCTGCATACACACACACACACACACACACAAAACTTATTTAGTAATTCATACATTTTGTTTATTTGATTTTGATGTTTCTTTGATGTTTATTCCTAGAAAATAGCAACATTCAACAGTCAAACTTATCAGGGTTTAAAACCGTCCTTAAGACTTAATTTTTAAGGGTTTGAGGTCCTATTTTGTACCTTATTAGTGGAAAGTGTCTTTTATTAATGTAATGCTAAATTATTCTGCACTAAGGCCTCAGTAGGCCTCACTTCAGCAACCGTTAGGATTTCATCTTCTTAGAGGTACCTCTCTCTGTCTCTGTGATGCCATTGTTGATGGTTCCTCGGGACAGAAGCTGATTCTGTAGACACTCGATTTCAGCATTCTTCGTAGCAAGCAGCTGCTGGAGTTTGGCAATCTCAGTCTAAAAAAAACACTTTAGCAGATTAGCACATTTCAGATCACAGTGAAAATATCTTTAGATTAAACCACCATTTTATTAACATTTTCATTTAAGAAAGAAGAAAACAAGGTCCACTGTTTACACAACGGTGTATCTTAATATGAATGCTTTTTGGGAGAACAGGGGAATCTGACACTGACAACACAAAAGTGACAGGCACAATAGGGTTAAATACAGGTTAAAATGACCTTCCCCATTTTGGGGGGTGATAAATGGTACATTCACACTTAAAAACACCCACTATATTGTCACAAAATAGGGGGAAAAAAGTTGGACTACCACAAACAAGTAAGCTTTTTCTGTTTCATATGTAGAATATTGCTCGCGTTCATATCCACATTTTTCTTGGCGTAAAAATGGGCATGGCCATTTGTAAATTCTATGGGTCTGGCTTCCGGTCTCATCTGCATCCACTCCGTCCAGCTATTTTTAGCTGAACAAAACAGTTCATTTTGCTGCTTGATATTGAAAGTTGGTGTGTCTTATATTATTTTAATGTATTATCTTAATTAAGAACACACTGGTTTGTAGTGCAAACAGTTTTACCGTTTACTGCACGTTGTTTTTCTCCTCGTTATTTACCTATAGCGGCTAATGAACCGGAGGTCTCACCAACAGGCTTACTTCCGCGTTGAAGAAAAAGGTGGATACCACCACCAAAATACTAGCACAACTCTTTGACATGATTTCCTAGAAAACCCATTCAAGTAGCTATGCTGGAACTACAGTAGGCTACAAGGTTGAAAAAAGGCACAAAATTATTTATTTTGAGCTGAATTAACAAACACAAAAACTCTTTCCACACTGTAGCTTTCTAGCTAGCTAAATCAAGATAACAGATTTCAAACTCTCGCATTACATCATCTTGAAGAGATCACATCATTCCCATCAGAACTTTGAGACTGGCTAAAACTTCTTTGGCAGCAGATTCCTTACATCAGTGTCCTAACCTTGTAAATGCTCAAATGTTAGCACATAGCATGATGTATGACCCTCCTGTAATTTCTGTGCCACCAACAGCACCACAAATAAACATTCCCTCATCAGCCATTGTTTAGTCAAACACGAGAGAAGGTTGCGTGGGTAGTAACAGGCAAACATGACTAAACTTAGGAAAAAGGATTTGTAGTATTTCATTACAGGCTATAGAAGACAATAAGACATGATGAAATGTACATAAAGAATGTGCTGTATGTACAGATATAGTGTGTGAATCTGTTTACATCCCAACTGCTCAACCCTTGTTCCCAAGATGGACAGTCCCGACAATCTACCAGAGAATGAAGTCATACGAACCCAAACTAATGAGCAAGTACTCACACAAACAGAGATAGATGATCTATAGTAACCTTTCCACATGTTCAGTTTCCCTACACTGCTCACTTCCACACATAATGTGGTTTAAAATATTGCCGCTAGACCATGTGGAGCTCTATCCTTGGCTAAAGCTCTTGAGCAATTGCAAGCCGTCTAAACGGGTCACCATTAAAAACTGGGGATCACGAAGTTGCAAGATAATCATAAAATATTTAGTGAAGAGCTTGTCAACAACTGACCGAGTACCAATCAGTTATGTAAAACGGGTGTCTAATCTCTTTCTTGGAGGGCCATTTTCCTGCAAAGTTTACCTCCAGCACATCTCCCTGAAAGTTTTGAGTGATCCTCAAAAGTGTGATTATGTGGTATAGGTTTGTTTAATTGGGGTTGTAGCTAAGCTCTACAGGATAGTGGCCCGGATTGGATGCCCCTGACATAAAACAAATCTAGATGGAAGAGGGTTCAAGAGGCACAAGGACTGGGAGCTCAGAGAGGCATAACAACCAAAGGAGTGGACATTTTCAAGGAACTATGACAAAGCTTGGAAAACGTAGACTTCCTGAGCAGAGGTGGATCTTCCTGTCTTAAATGGCACTCTTGATGCAAACTTGCGGTCATGTGGTCTTTAATTTTTGGGTGTCCCTATGGTCCATGAGACCGTAGGGTGTCCCATTTTATGATTCAAAAGGGTACTCCCCATGTGTCGTCAACAGATCTCGAAGGAAGCTATAGTGGTCAGTTATCCAGCAACATTACGTCATGTGAACTCAAAGGACCGCATGGACTGAGGGTGCCATTTTGGGACAGGGCCATCATCGCCCTCTCCTTTGTGTCATACTCCTCAGGGAGGATGACAAGGGATAAGGAGGGGGAGCAGGGTTAAACACCTGAGCTGTCCGACAGCGCTCCTCCCAATGCTGTCGTTCTACTTGAGTGTGCTCGACCGTGAGCTTCAGTGTAGAAAGCTTGGTCATGAGCGACTGGTAACAGACATGGAGGGAATAGGTGATAGAAAGCTGAAGGAAGAGAAAGCCAGAGGGACGTTCATTATGATAAGAGCTTAAGAGATTGTGAGAGTGCAGTGAACAATTGAATAAAAAGTATGTATAGAAGAGTTATGGGATCAGGGCAAGAAATTGCATTGACAAGAGTTTGCATTTAAGGTTAAGCCAATATGGCTAAAGAGACTGTCAGTAAATACTGATGGGGCAGTTAAAGTTTGTAAACTTTTTTTACGAGGTAAATATGCATTACCTTAGTGGCTTTGAGCTTCCTTTCATATTGTGATTTCTCACCCTCCAGTTCTTCAACTTTGCTCTTAAGAAGGCGAAGCTCTTGCAACAAAGCCTGATGAAAAAACAGAAACAAAGAAGAACAAATTACACACCACCATGCAGTGGCAAATATCCAACCATTCTGGCACCTGCTCCTGGAAAAACTATGCTTCTGTCTAAGGTACAGAGCCCCTAAATTGACTTTGCAGAAAAATAAAACCCTGAGACTTTCTTGTGCATGTGGAAAAATGTTCTTCTGTGCACTCGAAAGTTCTATGGGCTTTTTCCCTACAAATTCCACTTCAGGGGTTCCGTGCTAAGGTCATTCATATCAATACAAAGGAATTCAGGAGAAAGGGTTTGGACTGACCCATGAAACCCACACACCGTGCAGTTAAAACACAAGAAATCTCTGGAGATTCCTGGAAAACCTTATTAGTTTCTTAAAAAGATAAATTGGGTCCTCAAAAACTGCCCAAATTGATCAAGGAAAAGAATCTAATAGAGTCACCACTAAGCCCACAACCCTTCTGGAAGCTCTCTGGATCTACGCAGCAACCGTTAGCGTTAGTGAACTTCCATCATGCAGGTTTACACCCAAAATAATTCATGACATTCTGTCATCGCAACACACTGCAAACACCAGTAACTATGAGATTCCCACAGTGGAGCCCACAGACAAATTGGATTCACTGTAGGAAGAGGCAGTTAGTAACAATTCCTGTTGAAGTGTCCAAAAGTGAGATGGGGGAATGGTTATGTTTTAGGATAAAGCAAGGAGGTAAAAAGGCGGTCTTGAAGTAAATCCACCACATAATGAGGATCTGCCTACATTCTCTTCTCCACTTCTACAGCAGCAGCTGCATTCCTCAGCATCAGAGGCACCAAGGCCCACATCCGGGCTCTGGTCGAGAGCCTCGCGTGTGCCACTGTCCCCCAGGCTCTCCAGGGCTCTCTGCTCCTGGATGCGATTGCTGATTTCCTCCTGGAATTTACACATCTGCTCCTGTAGTTCACTAATTAGATTAACCACACTCTGAGAGAGCAAAAACAAGAAAGCCAGAAAAAAGGAAAACGTTGATCAGATTTGGAAACATGGTTATTCATAGACTCATGACTAATCGGAGTTCTCTGAATAGGCATATTCATTTTTGGCTTTGTGGACTTTAGGTTTTAGAATCTAATAAGTCACATGTCCACTCCAGACAAGTATTTCTGGAGGTTCAGGTTCAGATTTCTTTAGCATTTGGCCCTGTGGACTTTTAGAAAAGAAATTCTCTTAAAACAAACTTAAAAAAAAAAAAAAATCTGTCCACAACCAATGCCCAACAGTGTTTATACACATACCTTCCATGTTGTCAGCATTTTTTATGCTTTATGCTTGAAATAACGTTCTTCTGTATAAATGGTAAAGGTGGTGAAGGGACCTGCATTGTGACTTACTTTTCAATTTAAAGAAGGGTCTATATGAGGACAAGCTTTTCTGGGAACCAATATACTGCATTTCAGAGGATAAAATGCAGGTGCTTGTGATTCAAATAAATGTTGGGCATCTGTAATACTTAATCTGTGACATATGACGGTACCATGCACCAATTACAAGAGCTGACTTTAGCAAGGAGCATGTTAATGTTCAGTTTGTTTTTCACTTGTGAACAAGTGAATGATTAGTCAGGCTAATCTTGGCTATTCTGACAGAAATGCAAAGGCTGTCAGCCAGTGGAAGTTTAATATGATATTCCTTGTTGATGCTAAAGCTGATGATAAGGCACACGTTCCACGCTTATATTTAGCTCCATGCTGAAGGTTTGAGAGTGGGGGAGATGTGTGTGGTGAAAGTGTTTTGCGCCTGTGGTATGTTCAAAGTGAATTTCAGCCTCTCCGTCCTGTTGAATGGAGCCTTGCAGCTGTCACCCTTGAGGCCAGTGTTTGTTGATGCAACAAATGCAAGGACAGCTCTGTTACCACAGAACGAAGAGGGTGCAGTAACATTATGGATTTATGAGAAAAAAATGTAAGAAATAATTATTTACAAGATTCACTCAGTAAACCCACAAATTTCAACATTAACCAGTCACAGAATATGCACATACTTTTATGACAAGCAAGATTTGTGCAATTATTAATTTGACTGTTTATAAATGTGTATACATTGTGTGTGTGTGTGTGTGTGTGTGTGTTACATACTTATCCATGCAAATATAAATGTAATATACACATAAAATAAAAAAATAAAAGTAAAATCTATGTATCCTAACTGAAAACACACATTGCACTGAACATCTATTAGCAGCCTTTCCTTCGCTTTTTGCTTCATTTCTAAAGGTGAATGACACCCATTGCAGATATGTGTTAAAAAGCATGTGCATGTTGTGTGCAGCTAAACACTCGTCAAGACAAGCACTGAGCACTTCTGGCATCTGTCATTTTGTGCTCATCAAACTGCCTGTCACTATCTCCCATTTAGGCCCACCGCATGCTTTTGTGTCTCTACTGATTAGCATCTTCACTTATCAGCACACTGCCTTTTTGACACTGGGAGCATTTGTGGGACGTGGGGTTGGAAAGTGTGTGTACATATCTGAAAATCATGTTTCTGTAAGCACACTGTCAATGTGGAAAGGCTGAGTCTCTGTGATAGCCCGACTCAAATGAATGTCAAAGACATAACAATGAGACAACTATTGGCTCAGAGTTAAACTCCTTCCTGTTTTGGTCTCTTTGAGTCCTTGGTATACTTACCTGAAATTAAACCAGGAGAATGTTCACATACTAATTGAGAAATTGAAAAGCCATTTTTTTCTAATGACCAATGACTTTTTCAATATAGACTGCACTCGCAAAGAACAACTTTAAGCAGATGAAACATTTTGAGCCGAGGATACCAAGACAAATGTATATTCACTATGAAAATTCCCATGACTTTAAGCTTCTGTTAATATTAATGGCTCTTCAAGACTTTGACTTCTCTGATAGTTCCAGGTTTTCCAATGGCTGTGGGAAACCCGTTCACTTGCTGTTTGGGAAAATGTTTTGAAAAAGGAACCATTCCATCTTTAGACAGAAAGCCAGAGATTTAGTATGCTCAAGAAAAATAAAGCACAGAACAGATGCTCCTTTAAAGTTTTATGATGTTTTTCTGAGTCTCTGCTTAGTCTGTTGGCTCGGCACACAGTGTGTTACACTGCGAGTCTGAGAAGTAATTAGGTGTTAAGGGGCGATAAATCTACAGGATCTACATATACACACCACAACATAAACATGCCACCATGACTTCCCTGTCCTCTAGTTATGTTTCCATGCACCATATGGAAACATCAGATTAAATATCAGCTCAAAACCTTTTGAGCATGTTTACTGATCTTGTATTTCAACATGACGCTCTTGGTAACCACAATATTGTGCCTGAAATCAGTTTCTCTTCTATAGAACCATACACTTTTTTATTAATACACCTCTAAATGTATTTAACAACACATATACTGACATGGCTGCTTTCTGTGTGTGTGGTTTCAACTGAATTAGAGCCAACAGGTGGACAACAAAGACCTCAAAAAGACCTAAATAGCATCATTCAGTCAACCAAAATCATTCCTAGTCAACAAATCTAAACAATTATAATTATTTAGAGAACTACAATAATATGATTTTAAACAAATACCATCTCTTAACAGATGAACCCACTGCCCTGTATGAACTGACAGACTGATACAGTACCTCGGCTTTGTGATGTTGCTCCTGTTCATCAATGTGGTTGTGTTCCTCCTCCATGCTGACTAGCTTGAGTTTCAGATAGGAAACTTCATCCATGAGTTCCAGTTTCTGTGTCTCCAGTGAGGTTCGTCCGAGGAGCTCCTAAAGCACATGCACACACATTAGCGAACACATGGTGACACACAAATACACCCACACAGTTGTACTGTATACAGTAACAATCACACGGCACACAGACGCTCCTTGCTGCTCCACTGGCCAAGTTCTCTTACAGTAACGCTTATGCCGAAGCTAAACGCCACTAAATATACTCAAGCAATGAACGCTATTTTTACTTCCTCTGCCTCTCTGGTGCCTGCATGTGAGAAAGTCAGGAGGGCCAAAAGAGGGAAACTTTGTTTCTCAGCATTCCTGATACTATGGGCTAAATTCAGCAGAACACGGAGAACCTTTG